ATTTGCACCATTTTTGATATGTTTTTGTAGAAATAATGAAACTTTTTGAGACTTTTCAAATAAAAATGAACTACAAAATAAAATGTATTTTGCTGTAAAGTTTCTTTATTTTATTAAATTAGAAATTGACGCCAGTTCTTGATATCACATCTTTTGTATTATAAATAATATAAAATTTATTACTAAAAAGACTTTTGTAGATGGAAATTTTTGTATAAAATTCTTTCTTTTACATAAATAAAAAAAGGAGCGCGTGAACTTGGCGTTATTTTTACTTTTTTTAAAAGGTAATTTTAGGATAACACTCATTTTTCTAGTAACTAATAATATTTATTATTTAAGTATAAAAATGTTTCGAATATTATTTAGAATATTTGAAACATTTTTATATTTTATATATACTTTTTTTCTTTTTTAAGTGGGAAAATGCATTTATGCACTCCCTTGACCGTGTGACTGCCAGGGGGAGTATGGGACTCAGGGGCGCTAAAAAATGTCGCCCATACTACCCACTAAAACTCCACAAGTGCCTTCCTTGGCACGTCTATTAAGGGCGGTTGAGAACCTCCAGTGGAACACTTTTCAGTCGCCCTCCATGCTGGGTGACTCCTTGTTTGGGAGGGGGGGAGAACACATCTTCTGGATCCTCTTCTTTCCATTGCTTCAACTAAATTGGAGCCACTCAAAGCCATTGTATTGTGGTCACGACGGAGCACGGGCATCACCCGCTCCGTCTCCTCCCCGTGATGTGAGAGGATCTGACGCCGAGTATATCGGGAAGACTGTGCTTTCTCGAGATCCGATGCCGATCCATTGTCGGGCGGTGGAAATAACGGGGAAATCGTCTTCCTCGATGCCCTGGAAAAGAGGGCTTCTCTCCCTCCCACCGTCCATGGCCGTCCGTAATGACGGGCATCCAGGAGGGGGGGGGGGTGACCCGACTAAGACATCGAACCTCCCGTTTCTCTTTTTCTAAGTCCCATACTTTACACGGATTGCTCCTCGATGATTGGTCTCAATGGTGCGGTTAACCCCGCTCCGGGACAGACTTCCTCCCCTTCCCAGAAATAAAGTTGAATCTCCTGGCACCGGGTAGGGGAGGAGGGACTAAGACCCCCCCGGGTCCAGCTGGATGGAGGGGGAATATTCGCTCTAGGAGCTGGGCCTGACCGTCCGGACGTCCTTTCCCTCCTCCTATCTCACCCTCCTCGGCGTGGGCCCTACCTTCGCCTCAGCCGCTCGGCTTCTCCTTTTGCGACATAACTTGTTCACAAAAGAAGGAGACTGCCCTTCAGACCTCCTCGCTGCCGATCATTTTGTTGACGAGGGCCGGCAGCGAGAGGTGTTCTCCTGATACTGCGATCAGGACTCCGCATTCTCGGTCCCAAGCGGAGCACTCCTCCAATGTATGTTGCGCGTTCCGACAGGCCGCACAGTGCCAGCATCGAGTCGTGCGCTCCTTCCCGATTCTCAGGTACTCTCCGAAGCAACCATGTCCGGAGAGTACCTGGGTCAAACTCCGATAGGTCAATCCCCCATGGCCTCTGCCTAGCCATTCCGCTAGGCAGGACCGGACAGTAGATCGTCCGGGCGCCGGCGGTGGCGGAGTCCGCCAAGTAGTCTTTCGACTATTTTTTATTTCGATTATTCGCCACCGTTTTTCCCTCCTAATTTGGTTTACGGCCCTGGGACGAACTCCTCGCCGATCTTTGAGCTGCATCACGCGGCAGTAGACAGCCATATGTGCCAAGATCGGCGGGGTGCCCGTCAGGGCCGCGTGAGACACGATATGATAAGGTGAGCTTGATGCCTCTGCGCCTGGCGCATTCACCGCCAAGTTGCCCGCTCATATGGATGATCCATAGAGGGACACACGTTATATCTTCTTTTTTATTAATATATACAACTTCACACTAAAGACATTTGTCGAAGACATATCAAAAAAATGAGCGCTACAAGAGCTTTCATACAGAGGCGTTCACTAATGCCTCTTGCGACAGAGAAAAGAAAGTCACGATCGACGATGACCAGGACATTTCTTAAAACTTATCTATTTGAACTTTGCGTCGCGATATCTCAGTTTGTAGAACGCAAAAAAAAATAAAAACATTTTTCTTATATAAATTAATATTCAGCCATCGATTAAGCGTAATTAGAATTTAATTCATGCAGTCATTGCTGAGATATGAAAATGTAGACCAAGTTCATTCCGGATCTCGTGTAAAGAGAGCCACGGACGTTTCGCCGTCGTTCTACGCGAACTTCGTTGCGCATGATCTTGATATCGAGATACCACCCGTGTCTTTTGATTAATCATGTCAATAATGTTTATATGCTACTATTTAAAAATTTTATATTGTAGAAATTCTTTACAGATAGCTAGAACAATAATTATGTGTTCAAAACTTTTCTATGTATCTTTTAAAGAAATTTTGATAAAAATGAATGATTAGGGGACCCTCCAATGGCCTTAACCTTGACATATGTTGTCAAGGTCATGATTCTGAGTGATCTTCAAAAAAGTTTTATCCGTCGGATATCCTTCATTAAAAAGTTATAATCATAAAAAGTTAATATTATTATTATTAATTAATATTAGAAGGGCAATAAAATATAGTCAAGCATATGAAATAAATGGTAATTAATATATTAATTATTTAAAGGGTACATAGAATTTATAATGTTAAAAAAAGCATCGATGTGGTCATTATAATTATGTGGATTTGTAAATAATATTTATTGGATAACAGTGGACGAGAAAACGATACAATATGTCTTGCATGAGATTCACTCACCTTGCACTCAGCGACTGCCAAAATCAGACTGCTCTGCGCTTCACTAGGGCTCGTTCTTTTATAGGGGAAACACACACATACACACACACACACACACACACACACACACACACACCGCACACAACTATACAACTTTTCGAAAATATTATATGTTCTGTCTCACCGCTTTCATCAATCGCTTCCGAATTATTTAGATCTCTTCCGCTCAATCCTCAGTCACTCTCTAAAATATGTTCTTTGTCTCGCTGCTTTCAACTCTCGATACCGCTTACATCAATCGCTTCCTATTTACACTTAGATCTTTTCCGCTCAATCTTCAGTCATCCCTCTTACATATACACATAATTATACGAAATATCTCTTTAATTATACGAAATATCTCTCACCGCTTTCATCAATCGCTTCCGACTTACTTAGATCTTTTTCGCTCGATTCTACAATTATGTACTTTTTTAAATAAAAATTCTGCGAGATAATGTAAAAAATGGTAATCTCGTGTGCCATAGCGAGGAAGTGTGATCGCATCTCTCGCCACAATCTCTCTATATTTTGTGTATGAGTACCATTTTCAGGATCAACAAAATTAGTTGTATACTTAACTGTCATATGCGTATAATTTTCATTACATAAAACATCGTATGCTTGCCATTTATCGATATGGATAATAGAACCAGCTGCGACATATTTTTTGATAATTGGTAAAAGAGTTTCGACGGATCGATTTGATACAGGCAAAATAAATACATTCTGTATTGCGTTCAATTCCACCAAAAACCTACTGTCCTCTAATTATACGATCGGTATTGTATTTTTTTTGCCTATCTTAGCTTCATCCAGTTCTACTGTTTTATCTATCTATTTTACTCTATTCCACCAATTTGTTTTTGTTCTTTCTCAAGCCATTGTTGAAATAACTAACAATAATTTAATATATTACCTAATAGCAAACATAAATAAATAATAAGCAGTATTTTATTTACTTCTCGACAAAAATTTGTCCAATCGACAACAGTGTGATCGTTAAGTTCCAATTCGTTTTTTAGAAATTTATGTCGTGGTGGCTGCATTATTAAAAAATAACCGTATATAAATTGACAAATTGTAGGAAGATTTAAATATGCCCGCTCAAACCATGTTCCATGGAATGCGCTGATTTTGAAATTACATACTACTTTCTGTCATTTTCGATTTTTAATAACCTTATAATATTTTTTTGTACAATGAAAAATATGATTTTCAGCAACATTCGTTAATATTAGTACATTTCGGCATGTCACTTCACTCCGTACAACTTTCTTCTCACATAGAAAATTTCACAAACAATCAAAATTGTACGTCATATTAATAAATTCATGCAAATGCATGTTACAATATGTAATTATCTTATTGTATTAAAGTTCTTTAAGTGCCTGACTGGCTAATATATATTGTCGATATGATGGTGATATCAGATACGATATCAGATACTGATGATGATCGTAACACTACTGATCTGTGAAAATATTTGATATCTGTAAACAGGGTATCTGTAAGCGTACAATAACAAACATGTCCTTCAACATTGAATCGTAACTGTTGTTTATTTCTATCGACATTTTTCACAGATCGATAGTACTGATAATTTGGTATTCAAACTTATATATTTTTTTATATGGTTTGAAATTTAACTTTTATCAGTGTATCAACAGATTTGAATTGAACTTTATACAAAAAGTTGTAAATTCATGTGGAACTCTGTTTTGTGTTAAAAAATGTATGTGTGGAATCAGTATGTTCCGCCCCTCCATGGGGGAGGGGGAAGCGGAACATACTGATTCCATACATACACTTTTTAATACAAAACAGGGTTCCACATGGATTTACAACTTTCTACGCAAAATTGAACTTAAATGTATACGTCAAGCTAGAATCTTTTGATTGTTACTTAGAATGATGACATTGACAATATATGTCAATGTCATTGAAATCCGTGAGGCCGCCCAACTTATGCAGTTTTATTTTTATTTCATGCTTGACTATGTCTTATTGCCCTTCTTAATATTAATTAATTTTTTATGATTATAATTTTTTAAGGACGTCCGACGAATAAAACTTTTTGAAAGTCACTCAGAATCATGACCTTGACAACATATGTCAAGGTCAAGGCCATTGGAG